AAAAGTGAAAATTCGACGTATTTTTTGTTGTTGTAATTATCAGCCGCGGCAATATGGAAACCGTCACATTCCGTAGATAATTAGAATTACCTAAAGAGTACCAGCATAATTGAAACTTTCATTTTATTTATTGTCTTTTTATAGATTAAACATTTTCGTTCATTATCGTATTAGTCTTGCATGCTAAATGTTGTTGGTTTCGATAAGGTAGTCGCGAGATATATGGGCCTCATATAAACAAAGATGGCAACTTTGGCTGTTGCACAGATGAACGAGTACAAACTGAGACGTTACCAAGCTTTAATTAGGTATTTTTAGGTGATTGGAAGGTATCGAAAAAGTCACCGGTGGTAATTAGTTCAAGTCGCGTCCAGATCAAACCTCATACTTGTGATTTCCATTAAAGGAGCGCATTGAGTTGTGGGAAAGTCAATGTTTATCAACACAAATGTCGCACGTGCGCGGCGCGACGACCACCACGCTTTAAAGTTGCAATGACCTTTGTCACAATGTCGTGACGGGCAACAATGTCTGCATGGAAACGCTGATAAATAGAGAAACAAGAAGTTACCTAAGCCTGAAAACATCCCCATTTGCAAGTAGTTTTCGGTGAAGTTATTTCTGCAGCGTTGTCTAATGATTTTGAAACAGGCGGCCAGTAACTATTTTTGGGGCAAAAACAAGTCAAGTCGGAATATTTGCTTTCATTGAGAAATCATACTTCGATTAGCGTCTATTCGGATCACATTGCAAACAAGTCGATTTTCTGCTGCCACACGACTTCGTTTTTGTTCGTCTATATGCCACGCTTTTGAAGAACGCCCTCCTTATGTAATTAGTGTATTACTGTAAAACCGTTTGTTTTCACCGTGACTGGCATTAATTTTCACTATTTTGATGCTTTGAGCGATTCCATTGCGGTTTAAATTCACGAATATTTCAGTTCTCGTTGTTATTCAATGCGTTCACGCGGATTTAAAGGGCGGTGGTCGTCGCGCCGCGTCCTGTTCGATATGGGACTCATAGCGACGTATTCAACGCCTGTAAAATACATTGTTTGTTTACATGGAATTCGAACACGCGTTGCGAGACGGCCACTGCCCTCTAATTTAAATTAGCGAATTTTGCTTATTAGCGAAAATAGTATAAACCAGCGAATAATTAATGTGTTTACAGTATGTACTTTAATCACTCCAACACAGTGTGTTTATACAGCAGTTTCGTACATTACGTGCGTCTGTTGCATCAAAAGGTGTAGGACAATTTATAATCGTTGTTGCCACGGCAACAGAGCTAAATATCAGTTCCATATCGTAAATAAACATTGTTTTTTACATGTACATAGTTTATATCTGTTTTTACGTAACCCATTATACTGATAGTTAAAGTAAGGCTACGGGAACCTAGTTATGGAAAACAATTCTCTTCCATAAACCGGAATTAAGAACTAGTAAATAGGTACTGTTTGGAAATGAAAAAAAGAGTACTTTCCTAGTAAATGTTGAACAAAAACCGTTCGCTATCGAAAGTTAGCAGATATTTAGAAAAATAGCGATGAGCCAAAAAGTAGTATTACCTGGACCTAAGGTGTTCTAAAATATCGTAAATAAAAAAAATTTCCACGTTGTTGTGGTGGCATTTTTTTAATCTGTATTCATATATATGCAACTATTCTAAAAATGAAGTAATTATGCTGAACGTTTTTAAATAAATGTTTTCACCGTATATGTAGCAAAACTCACGGTGACACATCGAGTAACGCCCTCTATTGACGGAGCATGTCTGTGACGTAAATCGGTGTAAGAGACATCGTTCAGAGAGTTCATCTTCAGTCTCCGGTCAATACATTATTACTACTGTATATTACGTAATATGGTGAAGGGTACATTTCCTGAAATAGGACTAAACGCCTATCGATAGCTTCGTTCAGGTAAAAATCGAAATATTTGTTTTAATCAGTCTTCTCATCGGCAAGACAGTGACCAGGGAAATCTCGTACTAGTAGGATTAGTGTAGATAACATATTCTGTTGATTTGTCAAAAAAAAAAAAAAATATTGTCCAAGTAGAAAATAAACAAATATATCCGATGAAGAAATATGTATATAACATTATACGAAGCGATATGAACAAATTTGAGCACCAACTATGACGTAACCATTCACCAACTATGACGTAACCATCCACCAACTATGACGTATCCACCCGCCAACTATGACGTAATCATCCACTAACTATGACGTAACCACCCACCAACTATTACGTAACCATACACCAACTATGACGTAACTACCACGTGGGCTGACACAGTCTCTTGATTCATATTAGAATGCAACCACATACTAAGATTTACACAAATTTATTCTACTCCCATTGTTTTGCAGGACTCGGAGGGAAAGTTGTGATATCGGCGATTATAGCTGGAGCGGCGGCACTTGTATTTGATTTGTCAGGAACGGTAATGATAATAATATTCATAGTCTTATCTATCGGATCTTTAATTCAAGGTACGTACTACTAATGTATGCATTCGCTTAACTATCAGCGAGCGATTTAATAGTGGATTTAATTTAGGTATTTTTTTTATTTTTGTCGATAATCATATTATTGTACTCAAATGATAATTGTATTGCGCTATACACAGAACAGAATAATCTGTGCGATAAATCCACCCCTTCACCGCCGATCGAAAATAATTGTTCGTCCCTTAACGTTTCCATCCCTACAGATCGATAACTGATTTGCTATTTCTTTTTTCGAATATAGAAAAGCTGAAACAACGACGAGCTGCCAATTTCAAAGCCACGCCCTCGGATGTTCTTTGAGAATCGAAGAAATTGTTAACCCATCTACAAGTCTGAAGTATGACGTAATGGGTACTTGTCGGAAGTACGTTATTCATTTAGTCTCGCGAATCGAGATCTTCAAATTCCCACGAATGGCTAGTATTAAATCACGTGACATTCATTTTCAACCATGGTTGTCTTGATGAGAGCACTACACACGAGTACCAAGTTCCCTTTTATAAACCAGATTTAGGGTTTTAAATATTGATATAAATTGTTTTTTTTTAACCTGTGTCATATATAAAGCATGTAATTATAACATTAACAATACTTTGTGTACAGCGTGTACAAGAAAATAAGAATGATCTATTAATTAATTAGGCGTTCGACTCGTTGCAGTATTTGTGCGTTTACCACTAGCAATTCAAGGTATCAGACTACTAAATAAAGCGTCATAATATGAGTCCAAAACGTATTCAAGTTGGAATAACTGAAAGAAATTCACCTGCGTGCGTAAAAAGTGCACAGAATCACATCAAATTAACGACATTCGTTTGGACGCCATTATCCCAAAATATTAACATATTAAAGGGCGG